ATATATATCGACATACAGTAAATTTGTTGCATTATTCATTCACAACATTCATAAATAATCAATCTCACTCTTTTTTTACTTGTTCTTTAACTAGGTGGTCTTTATTATTTTATGATTGCCAAATACGTATATCAAACTATCATGTCTTTGATCAGTTCTTCCAAGTAATTTTCAATTGAGGTAAATGAATAAATGAGATTATTAGGCCGCAATTAAGTAATTAAGTTAAAACTAAGATATACATGCCAAGTTATCTTAGTTTGAATATTGCTCAAAGTAATTAAGCAGTTAGATACATATAATATTAGTAAGTAATGGCAAATTCTAAAGATTAATTCTATTTATTAATCTCTAAATAAAATTTAGTTGGATAATTCCTATCGAAACTTACCAAAGTTAAATATCTATATGCAAATCTTTATACTATCTAGAAATTAATACTATAATTAATAGGTTAATATGAATTTATTTATAGGAAAACAAAGATGTATTCAGATTGCATTAATTAATAAAAATGATTAAAACCAAGTTAAAACTTAATGGTCGTTAACTACTATATTAATAGTATAAATTGTAAACTCCAGTATACAAGTAATAATAGATTAGAGTATAAACTCCCAATAGAACTACAAGCAATTTTAGTACCTAAAATCTGTTAATATAATTATAATCAATGTAAGTAATCTAAAACAATCTATATAATTTAATTTTGGGTTTGTGCACTTTAACATTTTTGATTTACCATATCTAAGACTATAATCTGAGTGTGAAAAACTTTGAAATAGTGATACCGTATTTTCGCGTAATAACGCGCAGGGGTAGAATTTCGAATTTTGGCCTAAATTAAGCTTAATTCGGGCCAAAATTCGAAATAACGCTCATAGGCGTTATTACGCGAAAATACGGTAAGAGATCAATTATGACGATTCCTGTTTTTGAAAAAATCTGTAATTATTGAAAATTTTGATCATTCATGATTAATAGTTATCATATATCTGCCATGAATTATATATCTATAGAGCTATCGGTTAAGTTTTTATAACTTTATTGATATATTGATAGAGATATCGGAATTTCGTTTTTTCTTAAAGTCGACAATATGAGCTCGATTTTTATCCTATTCGAGTCAAATTTCTGTTGAAATCGGATTTATATCGGCATCAAATAATGCCGGGTTGAACCCGGTATGTCTTATTTCGACCTGTGTTATGTTTGCAGGATCAAATTTGATATAAGGGACCCCGCTAATATAATTGATTACTAATTAATTGATTTAGAATAGGGGTTCCTTATATTAAATTTGATCCAGGTTGGCATACTATAGAATTTTCTTTTTTCATTTTTTCGCGTGTAAAAATTGTTTTTCAAATAATTCAAATTCGACAAATTGTAGCTTGTGCTAACGGTGCTAACGGTTTATTATACATAAAAGTAGCTACTCGACATTAACACGGATGAAACATAACTAATCATAATAAACAAATTTAGAAATGTTAAATAATAATAGCTTTGATATGAGATCTTTCACTTTCATTCTTAATAATCAGTGATTATCATTCCATCATTTTTTCCCCGATACCGAATAACATGTAAATATGATGTGTGAAAATCTGATATGTGATGTATAGAGTAAACCTTATCCAAGAAAACTAAAGATTTTGTGCTTTAAACGGTTTTATTTTTTATATGTTAAAAACGGTTTTAATATATGAAAAATAAAACCGGTTCCATCCTCTGATATCTTACATTTGCTATTACAGTATCTAAAAATAAATAACCCACAATTACCATATTACTATTGGTAAGAGCTCTAAAAGTAATAAAAAATCAAAGCTTAAATAGATTACTTACAATGACGGTAATATTATATAACCAAATTATATATCAGGAATTTCCAAATCTGAATTGAGGTCATATGGCATAGATACATTGAGGTTATATGGCATAGATATATCAGGAATTTCTGAATTAAGGTCATATTGTATAAAATTTAGATAAAAAAAAAAACAATAAATAAACCAATAATTTTAATACCAATGTAATATTCAATAAATGTAACTTACCTGGAATATTATTTATTAAATGCGTAGTTGATATAAATCTACTATTCTGTGGCTGTTGTTTAGGTGGATCAATAATTTTAATATTTTTATCATTCTTATTTGCATCCTCAAATTGATTGGCATTTATTCCAGCAAAGCGCCATCCTCTTAAAACTTCATATAATTCATTAACACTTGGTCTATTTGATGGAATATTATTCCAACATTGTTCCATTAATCCTTTATAGCATTCAGGTATGGACACATTTTTAGCAGTTTGTGGGCGTTCTCCATTACAAATGTTTACCGACAAATAGAGATCATCGTGAGTTTCTCTGGAAAAAGGCAGCTCTTCATATGCAATGACCCACATAATAATTCCAAAGCTGTATATATCAGATGCGAAAGTATATGGATATCCTTTTAACACTTCTGGAGCGATATAAGGTAAAACACCAAATACACCAGAGTTTACTGAATTTGTTGTATCCTTATCTTCATAACATGACAACCCAAGATCCGAAATATAGATAGAATTATCATTACCGACTAAAATATTTCCAGTATGAAAATCTCGATGAATAAGACCAGCAGAATGTATTGTTTTTAATCCATTAGCAGCCTCCATTAGAATTCGCAATTTTTCAAACCAATCTATTTTCCCAAAGTTTTGTTCCAAATACCTCCAAAGATCACATTTACATAGTTTCGTAATAATCAAATAAGAATTGGTATTAGGATTTTTACTTAACCCATAACACCCAAGGACATCAGAATTCACCATGTCATTTCTACATGAAATCGCAGATACTATAAGCGCAATTGGCTGCATAAAATTATAGTAAGCTTTATTATTTATGAAGGTACTATATATATGAAAAGTATTCATATAGTAAGTAGCCACGTACCTCTCTAAAAATTTCGGAAGTTTCAAATTCATCAGGTACATTATAAGGAGAATTCTCGATGCTTTTAATAGCTACTCCATGTTCACCTGATCTGGAAAATTTACCTGCCAATATTTTTAAAGGGCCATCCAGCCAAACAGCTGAATAAACAGTGCCATAACCACCTTTCCCAATAAATTGTAAATCTTTGAATCGATCATAAGGAATCCATTCAATAAAATCGACACCATGTCTGGCATTTAATTGATAGTATTTAATTAAATCATCAATATCATTATTTCCGCTTGACCAATTTTGAAAATTATCCAGAAAATATTTTTTTCCACAAGTATAACACCAGGTCCATCCTGAACGTTGTTTACCGCAATACATACAAATCGGTATGAGGAAAAGGAATACAAGTTTTACAAAAAACCACCAAAAGGACAATTCAATTTTGAATGCTTGCGGTGAAATATTTTTTTTAATAATCATCCGAATAAATATAATACATAATAAAGCCAATGACGTACTAAATGATATCAAAAGAAATTCTTTGAAACATAAATAGAAAGTATCCGCAAATGGCTTTGAAAAGAATATAAATTCTACCATGTTTTTAAATAAAATTACTAATAATACTATGGATAGAGAGTGAGTCATTAATCGAAAACATATACCGATGGCATATTCCATAAAGAAACTATTTAAAATAGAAGTCAACATGATTAATGTTAATACAGTAATAGGGATAATGGCAAAAGAGCTTAAATCAAACAAAGCTACTAAGGCAGGCAGGATTGAAAAAAGTATTATTCTTTTACGATACTTTTTCAAGAAATATAAAAATTCTTTAATGCGTATATTTAAATTCAAGAATGAATAAATGCAGAGTCCAGTATAAAGTAATAGGGCTCTATACGGTGAATCCATATCACCTATTAAATATCCTAGGCACACATATGATAAAGTAATTAGAACTGACGTGAAAACAATATTCAAGGAAACTTCCATTTTTGTTTTAAAAAAAAGAGTGAGATTGATTATTTATGAATGTTGTGAATGAATAATGCAACAAATTTACTGTATGTCGATATATAT